TAAACAAATGTAAGAAATTTAAACTAAAAGATAATTTACAGAAAAAAATTTAGGATTTTTACAAAGAGTTCTGTAATATAAAATCCTGAACACCTCAACAGCCTCATCAACATGCATTAAGCCTCCCTTGCCCAATAGGAATTCAATGCCTTTTTCTTGATTTCAGTGTGTCCAAAGAAATTTCCTCATCTTTACCTTATTTTATTAAAAGCTCTCAAAAAGTACTTCATAAATACAAAACAGTATATACTGTTTTAATTTTTCTAATAGTCCAGTTCTGTGAATGGGCTATTTATAATAATTCAAAAGAAAAATTTTTAACAGGAAATATTTTATAAATAACATTTAAATTATTTTATTAAATAAAACTTACGGAGTATTATAAAGTGGAAGACATTCTACTAACTACACAGTTAAAATACTAATACTGATACCTTGGTTTCTCCTTAATTTAGCAATCTCTAATACAAATTGATCATACTGATTTTATATTCTTGGTAGTAAACTCCATAAATAATGACCTTTCAAGCTCTTTCAAACAGAAGTAAACAAGAAGTATATTTTCCACTTCAAGGGTAACACTGATTTACCAGGACTCATGGGACTGAATTACAGCTCTGACTTACACATTATATCATTTAATCCTCGCAATAATCCTATAAGATGGGTATTATCAGCTTCGTTTTATAGGAGAATAAACTGAGGCTTAAAGGGGGTGAGAAACTTGTCCAGGGTTATACAGGTTATAAGAAAAGACTGGACCCCATATCTGACAGGTTATAAAAACCTAGTTCTAATCTACTGCAGTTATGTAAGGAAAAGTCTATGTTTTGAAGATTCTTCAATTCTTAAATAATGTAAGTTTAATAAATGATACTGCTTTTTGAAAACTAAGTATATGAACTATTTCTATTTGGTAACTGCAACTATGTATCTTTCACTGATTATTATATACTAAGAATGTTGTTCTATATAATGCAAGTCAGGTACACACAAGTAAAATCAAAGATCATGTAAAACTGAAAATGAATAACTGAAAAATGAATAAAACTCTGAAAATGTAACAACTATATTTTCACAGAGAATGGCTAATTTATTAGCTAGACATAGGGAAGAGCTAATTTATTTGCTAAAAATGAAATGGAAAATATGTGTAATAGTTAAGATCAAAATTGTTTTCTGTCAAAAATTTCAAAAACTTCCAAAAGTAAACTCATTCTCTAAAAAATTAAAGCTACCAACTTTTAAGTCACACAAAAATTCCAATGCCTGGTTTTTGTTTTTGTTTTCTCCAAAAGGAGGAATGGAATTGAGCATTTATTGAGCACCTTCTATGTGACAGACACTGAGTTAATTGCTTTTGATTACTTTTTGCGGTACGCGGGCCTCTCACTGTTGTGGCCTCTCCTGTTGCGGAGCGCAGGCTCCCGACGCGCAGGCTCCCGACGCGCAGGCTCAACGGCCATGGCTCACGGGCCCAGCCGCTCCGTGGCATGCGGGATCTTCCCGGACCGGGGCACGAATCCGTGTCCCCTGCATCGGCAGGCGGACTCTCAACCACTGCGCCACCAGGGAAGCCCCTGCTTTTGATTACTTTTATCTCATGGAACCCGTTCTACTGCCCTGACTACTGAGGGGTACCATTACTCCAGTAGCACATAAGAAGAAACTCAGGATCTAAATGTCACATTGCTATAAGAGTGCAGTAAGATTGCAGTAAGGATTCGTACTCACATCTGACTCCATATTCTGCACCACATCATGCAATTAACAACCACAAAACACACCACACACACTATCCCTTTAGCAACATGAGAATTTAAGTTAAAAATCTAAGCAGTTATCTTTTTTTTTTTTTTTTCTCTCCTGTTGCGGAGCACAGGCTCCGGATGCGCAGGCTCAGCCGCCATGGCTCACGGGCCCAGCCGCTCCACGGCATGTGGGATCTTCCCGGACCTGGGCATGAACCCGTGTCCCCTGCATCGACAGGCACACTCTCAACCATTGCGCCACCAGGGACGCCCCAAGCAGTCATCTTTTAAAGAAGCTTTGTGCCCTGCAACTAGTCTGCGGCCAGCACATAACAGGTGCCAAATAAAAGTTTACTGAATGGAATGTAACAGGAAGAAATGGGATCATCTCCACTCACACCATCTTTCTCAAGGAGTTAACATAAAACTATTGCTCACCAGGCAACATATACAATTTTCTCCTTAAAGAATAAAATACTGAATCAGGAATTAGAAGAAAAAGGAATGACCATACATAAAAATTATTAATATTCTTAAAGGGCAAGCTACTGGATTAAACATAGAAGCCTTAAATAGAGATCCAGCATGTTCCACTCAATTACAACACTTATCTGACTCTGCCTTGTAACAGTTAATTAGGACCTCCCTAGTGGCGCAGTGGTTAAGAATCCACCTGCCAATGCAAGGGACACGGGTTCGAGCCCTGATCCGGGAAGATCCCACATGCCACGGAGCAATTAAGCCCATGCACCACAACTACTGACCTGTGCTCAAGAGCCCGTGAGCCACAACTACTGAGCCTATATGCCACAACTACTGAAGCCCGTGCGGCTAGAGCCCATGCTCCACAACAAGAGAAGTAATGACAATGAGAGGCCTGCGCACCACAAAGAGGAGTAGCCCCCACTCGCCACAACTAGAGAAAGGACACGCACAGCAACGAAGACCTAACACAGCCAAAAATAAATAAATAAAATAAATAAGTTTATTTAAAAAAACAGTTAATTAAACATGTCCTGCTTCTACAATTAGCTAGCTGCTAGCACAGACCTTGGTCATTTTTGTGTTTCTCAGAACACCAAAGACAGGACCTGGCACTTAATATTAACAGCTAAAATTTTATAAAGATCTTTCACAGATTACAAAGCTTTTTCAGATATATTTATCCTAAAAGCCTTGCAAGATAAGTATGATAACTATCTGCATTTTACAGACATGACATTGAAGTCCAAGATTAAGAGCCAAGGTAAGTGGTCAGGTATCCTTCTGTAACACCACAGCTACCAGAAAAGGCTCTCAATAAATGTTTGTTGGTTGAATCAGCTGTCCCTAGAAATATGATTTTTCTAAGATTACCACCATTATCTGTCGCTATAAGAAATGACTGTATTGCCACTTAAGATTTATAGCTTTGCTAGAAAACAGATACTTTCACTCAGTTTGACAAGGTTAATTAACTTTAAACTTATTACCAGTGATTCTCAAACTTTAGTAGGACTAATAACTGGGGAGCTTGATAAAAGTGAAGCTCCTTGGGCCACCACCATCTCTAGAAATTCTGATTCAAGTGGCCAGGAATCTGCATATTTTAATAAGCACTCTTAGCTGATTCTAATGTTCATAGTCTTTAGGGACACACTAAGAACTGAATTAAATTTTTTTAACCCTAAATTCATCTACCTCCCCCAAATTTTTTAATGGAGCCAATATTTTACAGTTATAGATATTTAAGCAAAAATTTTACAAAAACAATACAAGGCTATGGCATCGAATAGGATAGGTCCCCAAAAAACCTTTAATACCCAAAACCTCCCTAGACCTGGAGATTCACATGCTGCACAGAAGGTAAATCAGGGGTCTTTTAGGTAGTTACCCATGTTATTCTGTTTTAATTGATGAATTCAACTATGACTGCAATGTAATTTAGTAAAACATTTTTATAGGTCTTATACAAATGACTGGATGTTCAACAGTAAAATGGAACAGTTAACTTTGAACCTAATACAGAGATAATAACTTAATCACCAACAGTACCAGCCCATTTTAAACTTTAAATGACCATCAAAATGTTCTGAGATTATGGGTGACTTTTCCCCCATTATTAAATATTCACTGAAGGTTGGCATAGTACCTCTCTGTACTTTCTGAACTTTCTACAATAAGTATATTTTTTTCAGGATTATAAAAGTTTTATAAGTATTTATTAATCCTACAACCTTCACATACATAATGGGAAACAAGAATAACCTGAACCACATTTATCATAAACCACAAACACCCAAATATCTGACTTATGATACCAACTGTAATCACTAACTTTTTTTAAATTAATACCAGAACAAATCACTTAACTACTAAAATTTAGAGTATGTCCTATTTCTATCAGGTATCTGTTATTAGCATGACTTTTTAAAATCCTCTTGTCATCTATCCTATGGATCTATTTAGGGAGACAATTTTGTAACGAGGACTGAGGCATTAAAATATTTACACTCTCTCATGGCGGGGCGGGCGACCAGACCTTTGGTGTTTTGTTTTGTTTTTTTAAGATATTTTCTGATTGTATTTATCTAGGAAACTTAACATCGCAAAGCTGGGAGGGGGCTTTCTCCAAGGCAAACCACGCTTAGAAGCAAAATGTAACAGAAGAAGGCAAAGATGAGCTACCGGCAGGTGATGAAATTTCACCTCAAATAAGACGCAAACGGTTGTTTTCAGCCCAGTCAGGTGGGTGAATGACACTCCAGGAGTTCCTAGGGTTTTCAGGGCCCCGCACTTTCTGCGCTCTCTCTCTCTCTCCCTGCCCTCCCGCCCCTCCCCCCGGGACTCTGCGGGACTCAGCATGGGGCGCGGAAAAGCCCAGGCTGTTCGCAAACAGGCGTTCTCTGCCTCCCTCCGGGATGTACGTGCGGGGCCCAGGGTAAGAGGCTGCGCTCGGCCCGGCGCCGGGGCCAACCCGAAGGGTGCCAGCTACCCTGCCAGTCCCCCGCTCCACACACCCGGCCGCCCCGGAGCCCAGGCCGGGGCGAGGGCTTCCCGGCGACGCGGGGCCTAGTCGCCCCCCACGCGCCTCCGGCCTCCCGGGGGACGCGAGAAAGAAGGGCTGAGGCCCCCCCCTAGCCGCGGGGTGGGGGAGGCGGCCGCAGCGGCAGGACGCCCCGTCCGCCTAGCCCGAGGGCTTGCCCAGGACCCTCCCGGGCGGCCGAAGGCCAGCGAGCACGGGACCGCGCCGCGCCGCGCCACACTCACCTCGAGCAGCGGCCGCCGCCACCTCAGCATGGCCGTGGGGGTCGTCCCTGAGCAGACAGCCTCCTCCGGAGGGCACCGGCCCGGCCCCAGGCGCCGCCGCGAAGCCTCCCACTCCTGAAGGAGCTGTGGTTGCCGCTGCTGCTGAGGCCCAGCGCCCGCCGAGCCTCATCGGGCTCCCGGGCCGCCGCAGCCACGCGGATCCCGAAGGAGCGCCGCTGAGCCGGGCCGGGGGCGCAAGGCTGCGGCGGGACAACCGAGGTGCTGCAAGCGGGGATCCTCCGTCAAGCCTCCAGCGTCGCCGTGGCCGCTCCTGCCGCCGGCGCCGCTGGGCCACAGCGCCCCCTGGACCCCACGCCCGGCTACGGCGCGGGGACTGCGGCGGCCGCCCGGGCACGAGCTGCAGGGAACGCGAGGGAGCGCGGCCTGGCGTTGGCGGGGCCCCGTGTTCCCTGCGCAGCCCTCGGGCCCCCGGCCCGCCCCCGACGACGCCTCCCGGGAGCCGGAAGCCCCTCGGTCCCCACCAACCTTGGTGGGTCCCCTCCTCTCTCCCCAGTCCTCAGGCCCTGAGCACCTTTGCACCTTTTCTTTCTCTCCAGAAGGTACGTGAACGTTCCCGTCACTCGGACCTTCACCTGAGAGCAGGGGTGTGAGGGAATCTCCTCGTTTTCATCTTTCATGATTCAAGGGGGATCCCTCCTGATCCCTGCAGTGTGTCTGGATGCAAGAAGAGTGACCCAGAACCAACCTTCCCCCCCGCCCCCAATCCTCTCCCGAAACAGTTGAAGGAATTGTCTTTGACCTTAATTTTTTTGGATCTTGTGGCAGAGCATTTGAGGAATTTATCCTACGGATACCAAACCCTTAACCCCCAACCTCCCCCAAAACAGAAAAATAATAATAATAATAACATGCTGAGGAAGAAAAGACAATAGCCAACGAGTTGTCCTGAAATTCATAAATAACTTAAAGGTAAGAGAAGAACAACCATCTCTTCTAACTAACCCACTCCCCCACCCCCATCTCTACTCTTCCACCCCCAACCCCCACCAAATCCCAGGTAAGGCTCTGAAGGAAGGAAATCGTTATATAGCTGGGGCTGTGGAATCGTTCTGTTTACAGATACCCCATATTCCATCCCACTCAAACTCTAGGCTGCAAAATCAGAAGCAAGAACAAAAGAAGCAAGACTGTCGGAGGGAAAATAGGGAAAGAGAGAAACTCTTCAAGTCCTGTGGTCCCAAACTTTTACAAATAGTATACATTATTTTATCACAAAGTGGTATAGTAGAATGAGCAGGGACTTTGGTGGCAGACAGATCCTGATACAACCAATTCCAGCTCTGTGGTGTGTAACTTTATGACCCTTGGCAAGTTATATAATATTTCGGAACCTTGGTTTTCTGATGCCTACCTTGCTGGTTGTTGTGAAGATTGGAGATAATTTATGTAAAGGAACTGGCCCATGGAAGGTACTCAATAAATGTTAGTTCCTATTATCGTTGGTTCCAAAACACTCTCTGTCTTTCTTAGATTCAAGGTTGTTCTCATCTTTTTCTTTATCTCTCAATCTGTGTATGTGTGTGTGTGTGTGTGTTCCTGTTGAAAGATGGGTGCATCATTTGTCATCATTCTTGGTCTGGGTAAAATCTCCCTAAATTTCACTAATGGATTTATGTAACATCCCTCCACTGAAGAATAATACAGCCTAGTATACTGGATCCTATGACATTCTGTTGCATGGCAGATATCAGGATAGAACCAGTATAGTTTTCTGTAGAAAAAAAGAATTATAAGGCAATTTCACCTTACCTTAGGTTATGTCCTAATAATAATAAATCTTAATGAGAAAGTTATATAAGGTCTCTGGGAATTTTCAAATAATAATTGAGCAGCCACCTTAGAGAAAATATAACCTAACAGCTCTCTCCCAATCAATGAAAGCTGTTCCTGTGTGTACCTTCACCACCTACTTCTGAGTCACGTCGCCAAAAAGTCACTATCCCCTTTTTATAACAAGAGAAACTGGGGCTCAGAAGGAAACTGTGACTCATCCTCACAACAGCGCTATGAATTAAGTAGTATACTGCCACCATTCTACACGTGAAATGCATCCAACGTAAGGAAAACCTGGAAGTAGACCCTGAGATTCCTTCAGTCTCCCATCTGATGCCCTAACAGTCCTTTCTTCAGTATTTAGAAAATACTATAAGACTAAGTTACTGTTGCTAAAAAAATTTCAATCTAGAGAAATGGGCCCTTTAGTTGAGATTAGTATGGCAACCTAACATTAGCACTGTGCTTTCCAAGCCTAGTTCACTATCACCGCAGGAAATCTGCATTTGTTTATGAATAATCATGCTACCCAGGGTGTAGCTACTACGTGAAGATGATTCATTTGTTCCCAGGACCAGTTTCCTCTTGCTTCCCGCTTTCCCTCCTTCTCTTCAAATTATGTTGCTCAAAGAGGCTGCCTTTATCATCACTACCACTTCCCTGATTATAGTAGTCCACTTTAAATCTTTTCATCCATGCTTTTATTCTGTTGTTTTGACTCTTCCTACCCAATCTGCTCTCTGCTTCTGAAATGTCTTTCATCTGTTCTCTTCTCCCCTACTGTAAATCTCTTTCATTTTAATCTACCTTGACCTGCTGTCAATTGATTTGGTTACCCTACCCTCAGTTTTGCATTGATTTCCACTACTATTCAGTGACTCTAAAATATCTTCTTGGGCTTCCCTGGTGGCGCAGTGGTTGAGAGTCCGCCTGCTGATGCAGGGGACATGGGTTCGTGCCCCGGTCCGGGAAGATCCCACATGCCGCGGAGCGGTTGGGCCTGTGAGCCATGGCCGCTGAGCCTGCGCGTCCAGAGCCTGTGCTCCGCAGCGGGAGAGGCCACAACAGTGAGAGGCCCCCGTAACGCAAAAAAAAAAAAAATCTCCTTATTCCCAACCTGGTAAACCTACTTTTGCTTTTATACCGTATACATACTATAGAAAGCCAGTATTCTAAGAATGGTTTCTTCAAATGATTTTAAAATATAGCACTCCAAACAAAATTTTCTTTGCTCCTTAAAATTTGTCCTTTAAAATTCAGGCCTTTTATTTGTCAGTTATAGCTGGGAAAAAAAATTCAGACCAAAATGATACTCATTTTCTGGCTTGGTGAATGGCATAGGAATCATCCTTAACTCTTGTGTCTCTGTCCTGGACAACTGTTCACTAAACCTGATAAATTCTACTTCTTGCTTTTATTAAATTTCTTTCCTTCTCTCCAACTCCACTTCTATAGATGCACTGAATGAAAAGAAAGAAGGGAGAGAGGAAGGAGGAACTAATGAATATTATCTTTGTGTATAAGAGTATATACTGGGGCTTCCCTGGTGGCGCAGTGGTTGAGAGTCTGCCTGCCGATGCAGGGAACACGGGTTCGTGCCCCGGTCTGGGAAGATCCCACATGCCGCGGAGCGACTGGGCCCGTGAGCCATGGCCGCTGAGCCTGCGCGTCTGGAGCCTGTGCTCCGCAACGGGAGAGGCCACAACAGTGAGAGGCCCGTGTACCGCAAAAAAAAAAGAGTACATACTGTATAAAAGTTGGTTTAAAAGAAAGCACAAAACCTCTTCCATGCTCCCAATAATCCTTGTGCTTCCCAATTTATTTATAAGTACTCATTACTACACTGTCAGTATGTGTTTGCTTGTATGTCTCTCCTATCAGATTGTAAATGTTTGATTCATCTCTGTGTGCCCACAACTAGTCTCAGCACAGAGTACACCTCAGGGGATGTTAAGCTGAACAAAGCTGTGGCTTAGCGTGATGTGCATCAGGCTAGTGCATCCCACCCACTCAGTTACTTTTTAGGCCTTACCTGTTAACTTCCAGGGTCCACCAAAGAGTAAGATGCCCCTTCAACAGGCGATTGCCCTGCAGCCCAGAATTGACCCCAGCCTGCTGCTGCCAGCTATGGTCTCCCCCACCCCTCTGACCAATCATAGCCAGGAATCAAACCCAAAATTCACAGTTACCTGTTACCAAACAGGAGAGCCCTAGAGCAAGCCAGAAGTCAGTAAAGCAACACAAACTTAAAAAGGAAATTGGGGACGTTTGGGAGTTTGTTAGGTCACTTGAGTCATTTCAAAAGGAACAAAACAATTCCCATTTTAGGAATGAAGCATAAGGAAGTAATCAAATATATGAAGAAAGATGTGCAAAAAGATGTTTGTTATACATTTTACTATAGATTTATAACGTAAAAATGTAAGGAAAGCCTTAAATGAATTACAGTACCTCCACACAAAGAAATATTGTACATCTATTAATTGCATTTTTAAAGAATTTTAAAAGACATTGAATACTGCTCATGATTCAATATCAAATTGTGTTAAGTAAAAAAGATCATTGTATGATCCCAATTATGTTTTTATATATATGTAAAATATATAAATATATTTATAAGGAAATAGTACAAAATGTTATATGTTTGTGGGTTTTTTTATTTTGAAATAATTTCATATTTAAAGAAAAGTTGCAAAAATACTACAAAAGAATCCCATATATCTTTCACCCATATCTAACCACATTTGCTTTATTCTGTCTCTTTCTTGTGTGCACACGTGCTCTCATTCTCACTCTTTCTTCCGTCTCTACAGAGAGGTAGATATAAATATAGGTATTTAAAGAAACTACTGTAATTATTTTCTGATCCACTTATCCCTAAATATTTTTCAGTATATTTCCTCAAAATAGTACAAATACCGAGACTTCCTTGGCGGTCCAATGGTTAAGACTCCGTGCCCCCAAGGCAGGTTGCACAGCCTGATCCCTGGTCAGGGAACTAAGATCCCAAATGCCCCACGGTGGGGCAAAAAAAAAAAAAAGTACAAATATCACAGTACAATTATCAAACTCAGAAAATAATATTGATACAGTACCATGACTTAGTCTATGACCTTATTCAAATTTAGCCAATTGTCCCACTAATATTCTTTATAGAAAAAGAAAATCACTTTTTTTTTCTGGCCCCGGATTCAGTGCAGGATCACACATTATAATTAGTGTCAAATCTCTTTAATATTCTTTAATCAGGAACCATTTCTCAGTCTTTGTTTCATATGACCTTGCCATTTTATGGCATTTATTTTGTAAAATATCCCTCGATTTGAGTTTGTCTGATGTCTCTTCTTGATTAGATTCAGGTTATGCATTTTTGGCAGGAGTACTACAGAATTGATGTGTCCTTCTCAATGCATCACATCAGAAGAAATGTGACACCTATATAGGTGACAGCAGTTTTGTTCACTTGATTAATTAAGGTGGTATCTGCCAGGTTTATGCAGTGTCAGTAACCATTTTGCTCTTTGTAATTAATAAATATCTTGTGGAGAGATCCCAAGTTTTAACATTCATTGATAATTCTTGCTTGAAACAGTTATTAGAATAGTAGTTGCCAAATTTCTAATTCCATCATT